TCCAGGAAAAGCCTTTTTAAAAATTTAAAGACATTGAAAACAAAAAGAACAAAGAAAATCAAAGTGAAAATTTGGTTCTAGGAAAAAAAAATCAATAAAATTGGCAAACTTCTAGCAAGATTCAAAGGAAAAAAAGAGAAAATATATAAATTGTCAAATGGAGAAAATGAAGCTGTCACTTCAGAATGGGTACAAGTCAAGAGGACAATAAGGGGACACCATGAACAACACTACAGGCATAAAGCTGACAACACACCAGTTCCTTGCAAAACAAAAGCTACAAGAATTCACTCACAGGAAATGGATGACTTCAGTAGTCCTATAACAGACCTATAAATCAATGGACAGGACAGAGAATCCCGAAGCAGACCAATGCAAATGTGTCTAATGGATCCTAAGGGTGCTGCTTCGAGTAACGGTGCTGAAGCAACGACGCCCATGAGCAAAAACAGGAATCCCAGCCCAAACCTCAAACCTGTTGTAAAATTAACTCAAAGTGGATCACACACTTAAAACAATATATAAAATGATAATGTTTTTAGAAAACAGCATAGGAGAAAATCTTTGGGATCCATAGGCAAAGAGACGTGGCATCAAAAGCAGGATCAGTGAGAGCAAAAATAGATGCCTCAGTAAATTCAGTTTTTGTGGTTACTGTGACAAACTGCCACAGGATCGGTAGTTTTAGAACTTTTTATTTATTTATCTATCTATTGGTGGAACCAGGGATTGAACTCAGGCCCTCGTGCTTACCAGGGAAGCACTTATTCCACTGAGCCATCTCTCCAGCCCCTAGGATCGGTGGTTTTAAAGCAATAGAAGTTTATTCCCTCACAGTTCTGGAGACCAGAAGTCTAAAATCAGGATCTCTGGTCCCAGATCAAAGCATGGGGAGAGCCACACTCGTCTAGTGGCTACAAGAGAGAGTTCATCGATTGCTCTGCTACCACACCTTGGTTTATGGTTGCAACTCTCCAATCTCTGCCCGTGTAATCATGTTGCCTTATTGTCAGCATTTAACTGTCCTCCACTTCTCTTATAAGGACACTTGTCATTGAATTCCTGCCTCATCCAAATAATCCAAGACAATCCTCATGTCTCGTGATCTTTTGTGGAGGACCTGGGCGACTGTCCAAGGAGGAGCAGTTGTCTCCATTTTGGCTGAACCTGGCCAGGTATTTCCATGTATTGATGTGTACAGAGCTCACTAGGGCTTTTCCTTCTCCCTTCCATTGGCTTTAAGCAATGCAAATCAGCCCAGCTGAGGTGCCAATGTGTAGCCTTCGAAGCAAAGACAGCAGGACAGTGTTTCCCCACCACCCCTAGTACCCCAAAAACACGTGTGAGCTGAGGCAGGATGAAGAGCCATGCTCCATACTGTTGGCTGGGAACAAGCCTCAAAATAAAAGTTTATGACTTCCCAGGAAAAAAACACATCGGAGCTGAAGCACCAACCCTAAAACATGCGACCTCGATTACGTTATGCAGATTATCCTATCTGCATATCCTTCTTTCTGTGCATTGCAGAGGTGATTTCAGGCCTCCTACCTAGCCCAGCTCACAACACTGATGTATTTCCTACCACTCTCACAGTCACTCCCTTCTTTACAAATTAATAAAACCCAGATTTGGCTCTGGATTGAGGGCTTTGTTCCGAATAGCCACCATCATCGCTGGACTTAGGACCCCTTGGCTCTCCACAACTACAAACATGCCTTAGTGGCTTTGTTCTCACCATGGGTTGCACTGGAAGTGGTAGGTTGAAATTAATTCACTAGAATTCCAATAACTTTTCCATGGGATTACAAATATAAACTTCCTGGGCCTCAACAAGGACCAGGAAGGGCTCTCTATAAACTTTAAGTTAATCACGGAGCAAAGTCCTTTTGGCCACATAACGTAATATTCACAGGTTCCAGAGATGAGGATATATACATCTTAGGGGACCATTTTTTCAGCTTACCACAGTTTGACTTAGTTACAATTTTAATGTGCAGCTCTCAAAAAGATGAAGAGATAAGCTATAAACTAGGCAACATTTGCTAACTATATTCAACAATGGATCAGTATCTGGAATATGTAAAGAACATTAAAATGCAAGGTTTTGAGACAAGGTCTCGCTACGCAGTTCAGGCTGACCCTGAGCTCACTTTGTAGCTCAGGCTGGTCTCGAATGCTCAATGACCCTCCTGCCTCAGCCTCTGAGTTCTAGGATTACAGGTCTGCCTCACCATGCCTAGCTCCAACGTGTTATTTTTTTTTAAAAAAACCCAATTATAAAATCGGCAAAAGACATAAGGAGGCATTTCACTGAAAGGAATATATACACAAGTGGCAAGAAAGTACACGGAAATGTCAAACGCCATCAGCTCTTAGGAAAATAAAAATCAAAACCTCCATTATCTATCACTACACATCCATTAAAATAAAAAAGTAGTTTGTATACACTTGTAATCCCAGCCCTTTCGGAGACTGAGGCACAAAGATCATAAATCAGAGCCCAGCCCCCTTACAATTTAGAAATTTAATAGTACTGTCTCAAAAAAAAAAATAGTGACAATCCTGGCAAAAGATATGGAAAATATTAGATCACACATACATTGCGAGCTGAAAGCTACAATGATACAGCCACTCTGGAAAACACAGGGTGGCCGCTTCTTAACAAACTAAGCATGTAACTGCCATATGACACATCTATTGCACCCCTGGGCACTCATCCCAGACAAATAAAAACAACTTCACCCAAGAGCCTGTAAACAAAGGTTCAGAGCAATTTTACTCAAAACATCCCCAAACTGGAAACAACCCAGATATCCTTTTGAATGGTTAGACAAACTCTCTAACCACGGTTGGTGCATCCACAGAGCCACTACCTGCAACCACAAGAAACAAACCATTTATACTTGCAACAACTTGAAATGACTCTCCCCAAAACTGCACTAAGGAGGAAAGAATTCCTAAAGTTCACATGCTGTCTGACTCTGTTTATATAGTATTCTTGAAGTGACAAAATTCTACAAACAGAACAGACTGGCCATTGTCCTGAGTGAAGGACAGGGTGGGGCTCGTAAATGGGTATAGTAAAAACAGGGCAAAGACTCTTGTGTTAGTGAAAATGTTCTGAACCTTGACTATCTTACATTAATATATTTTGGGGGGGGTCATTTTAAGACAGGGTCTTGCTATGCAGTTCAGGGTGGCCTTGAGCTCACTTTGTAGCCCTGGCTGGTCTTGAACTCACAACAATCCTCCTGCCTCAGCCTCCTGAGTGCTGGGATTACAGGCGTGCGCCACCACACCTGGCTTACATCAATATCTTGCTTACGATGGCTTTTACAAGATTTCCATTGGGAGAAACTGGGCAAATGGTACACTAGTTATGTCTTATCCTTAAATTAGAATTTATAATCTTCTCCAATGAAAAAGATTAATTTGTAAAAAGATATACAAAATATATGCTCACATTTTGCATTAGATTCAGTAGGTATAAAGTCCATCAAAATGTAAAAACTTTGCTCTTCAAAAGACATCATTAAGAAAAGGTCAAGCCTAAGAACAGGGGAAAATATTTACAATACATGTATGTGACAACGAACTCATATCTAGAGTACATAAAGAGCTTTCGGCAGGGGGTGGCAGCACATACCTATAATACCAGCACTCTGAGAGGCTGGAGCAAGAGGATTATAATCAGAGCCCAGCCTGAAAAACTCAGTGATTTAGCAAGACCCTGCTTCAGAACTAAAACATAAGACAGGACTAGAGCTGTAGCTCAGTGTGAAGGCCCTGGGTTCCACATCCCCCAGAACCACCAAAATACAAAATAAGTAAGAGCTTTTACAGTTTAATACCTACAACACAGTAAAAGTCACCATGAACTAAATATGATTTCACAACCACCAACGTGGTTAAAATGAAAAAAAAAAAAAAGACAACATTACATAGAAGCCAAAAGTATGAACAAGAGGACCAACTTACTGCTGTTTGGGGACATAAAATGACACAAGTGCTTTGAGAAACTGCATGGCAGGCACACCTAGAAATTTACCCAGGAGATATGAAAGCAAGTATTCACAGACAGACTGGTACAAGAATGCTTTTTCACAATAGCTCCAAACTGGAAACAACCCAAATGTCCATCAACAAGGGAAAGGATATGCAAATGGTGGCCCATCTATACAATGGATAAAGTGGAGCACACACATGAACCTCATAAGCAGCATGCTGAGCCACAGAAGAGAGGCACAAAAGCTCCCAGTGTATGATTCTATTTACGTGAAATTCTAGAACAGGCGAAACTAATGTTTAGTGACAGAAAGCAGATCAGCCAAGTTGCCTCAGGCTGGGTAGAGAGGGTCTCTGGGGAACGATGGAGACTTCCTGTATCTTGATTGTGTCGATGGGTATAAATACTTGTCAAAATCATCCAAAAGAGGACTGGGCATGTAGCTCGGTGGTAGAGGGCTTGCCTGGCAAGCATGAGGCCCTGGGTTCCACCTACAGCACTGCAAACAGACTATTTCATTTTGGGTAAATTATAACACCATATGGTTCATTCTTAAAAGACAAAATATAAAGCCAGGCATGAGGGCACATGCCTGAAATCCCAGTACTCAGGAGGCTGAGAGAGGTGGATCACGAGTTTGAAGCCAGCTCAGACGAGGTAGCCAGACCTTGTCTCAAAATCTTAGGGGAAGGGGGCGAAAAAGGCAAAAAAAAAAAAAAAAAAGCCTACCTTGTGTCTTAAGTTCTATAGACACAGAAGTAAAATTTCTAAATGCTTCCTAAAGTTTCTGAGCACTCCCTCTATATTTCTGTGAATTCCTCCTCCAACATAAGCAAGTCTTGCAAACCAGCTGTGGTCGAGGATAAAGTAGCTCCGCGCCTACCCTATTCTGCCAACTACTGGGGTTCTCAGCTCCCCTGCGGCCTCTGGCGCCCTACCTTGGACAGGAAAGCCGTGGGCTGAGAGGACCCGAGGCTGCGGCCGCCGCCTGGGGTCACTGCGTCTTGAACACGGGCTTGCGCTGCAGTCGCAGCACCCGGTAAGTGTTGAGGCCAGGCACGTCGAAGCCTGGCGACAGCCCGTGGGGATCCAGGGGGTAGAAGTGCACGAGCTGCCCGTGCTGGGTCTCCAGCGACAGCGACGCGTCGCCGCCAAGCGGCAGCGAACACGGAAACTCGCGGGCCACGTGCAGCTGGAAGACGCGGCCGCGCACGTGGCGCAGGGCGAGCGTGCGGAAGGCGGGCGGCACCAGCGCCTCCACGCGGGGCCCGAACTGGCGCAGGCGCAGCTCGCCCGCCGGCCCGGCGCGCACCTCGTAGAAGGTGATGTTGGCGAAGGTGAAGTAGCCCGCGAAGGGGCGCGCGCTGGGCGGCGGCGCGGGGCTGCGCTCTGCCTCGCGGAGCGCGCGCTCCAGGGCGGGCACGAGCACGTCGTAGGCGTCGGCCACCAGGTCGCGCCCGGACGGCCGGGGCCCGGCCAGCAGCAGCACGAGGCCCAGGCGCAGCGGCGGCACCAAGGAGAAGGTGGCGGCGTAGCCGTCCAGGTCGCCGTCCTTGCGCACCACGCGGTGGCCCCGCTGCGCGTGGAACTCCCACGGCGTGCCCGTCTCGGGGGCGAAGTAGGCGGTGGGACAGGCCAGCACGGGCGCCAGCAGCGTCTTGGCCGCGTCTGGCCGCAGCAGCCGCCGGGGGCTCCCACCCAGCAGCGCCACGGCCAGCTTGGCCAGGTCGGAGGGTGTGGAGTACATCTGGCCCGACGGGCGGTACCAGCCCAGGTCGTAGAGCGGCGCCGGCCGCCCGCTGCTGTAGAAGCCTGCGGCCAGGCGGGCGCGCACCGAGGGCGTCAGGTCGAAGCCTGTGTCCGCCATGCCCAGTGGCTCCAGCACGTTCTCCAAGACCCAGCGCTGGTAGTCGCCCTGGGCTGTGTGCGCCGCCAGCACATGCGCCAGCAGCGAGAAAGCCAGCGTGCTGTAGTGGCACCTGGGAAGAAGGAGAGTGTGGTCGGGGTGCGGCCCTGGCCATCCCCAGGTCCCCTTCCCGATGCCCAGGCTGCCGAAATGCCGCCAGCGCTTTGAAGGGGTGGGTAGGGCGACAAAGGACCCTGCACTCCAGACAGCCAGGCCCGGAGGCAACTTCAGAAATCTTAGGATATAACTCTGCCCTACACTTGGGACGCCTAAGGCCAGTAAGGAACAGGAAACTACCCAGGATTGCACCAAATATGCACGTGGAAAGGTGGTGCGGCAGATGGCACTGGTCCTTTCCACTCTTATCAAATGAAAGATCCAAGTTTTAGCATCTTTGAAGGGGATGGGAGATGGTCATCCTGTAGCTCAAGAGTGACAAATGTGAGGCGGGTCTAATCTTCCCTTCCTCGGGTCTGTGTGTCCACCTGTGACCAGCAAGAACACGGGCAACTTGAGGCTCCCAGTGGGAACCTCAGGAAGGAATGGGATGGATGTAGATCTGAGGGTCTTACCATCCACTCTGGGTCTCTAGGCCACGCGCCTAGACCGTGAGGTTCACAAGGTCACAAGGCCAGTCAGAGCAGAGCCGGAACATCGCATGTCTGCATCACCTGGGCCCCTCCTCAAGGGGCCTGGTGCCTGAGGCTCAGCAATTAGAGGAGCAGAGGGACCTTTGCAAAAGCAGCACCGCCCAGGGCAGGTGGGCCTCTAAGGGGGCAGCCTCTAAGGGGGCCTCCTCGGCAGGGCAGTTCCAGGTGTCCTCCATCCAGCCCCGGAGCCCCACTGCCTCCAGAGCTGGGCTTCTCTGTTTTCTGGTTACCCAGTCATCTGCTCCTGATAGTAACAATGTCCCACTTATTTCTCTCATGGCAAAATCTTCATTCTGTTTAGCTTTTCACTATGTCTTCCCCATCAGAATGCCAACTCCAGGCTTAGCACACTCTGGGCAGAGCAGGTCCTTAGGCGACATGGAGTTGATGAATACAAGGGCACAGAACTGCAGCAGAGCTGGATGCTGCCCCCCAACCCCCACACCTCTCTACACCTCCCCCTCTAGGCCTTAGTCTTCCCTCCTGACTCTGGGCATCCGGAGCAAAGTACTTTCCCTGGGGTCTGGTCTCCTGCAGCGGCCTCTCATGGCATGAGGCGTCAGAACACGGTCCTCACCTGGTTCCTGGGTCAGCCACCAGCACATCATCCTTGAGCAGGCTGAGGGCCTCCTGGGTGCTGCCCCTCCACAGCAGCGACGTGGAGCGCAGCCTTCTGGGCAGCCCTAGGGAACAGAGTGGTCACACCCACTGGGCCTGGGTTTTGTGGGAGAAGTCACCAAACCTCTCTGAGCCCTAGTGCTTCACTTGTAACGTGGGGGAAACCAATCCTATGTCATATAGCTGACGTGAGGATTAGACAAGACAACGTGCTTGGTGTGGTGCCAGCTACCTACTAACTGCTACAGGAAGAACTGCTAGGCCCTGGGGGTTGCTCAGTGGCACAGCACTCACCCAGCATTCAAGAGGTTTGATCCCCAGCACCACCAAAAAATTATCAACCATGGAAAGATCCACTTCCATAAGTTTCTTGAGGTCAGTGGTCAAATGTGTGTTCTGTTTATTGGATGTGACAAGTATTGAAAGGATCACAGGATTGGGATCCCTTTCATCCCTGTGCTCATCAATAATTTCTTACCACCTGTGCCAAAAACTATTTCATGTTTTGGAGAATCAGCAAGAAACAACACCAAGTCTCTGCCGGTGTGATGTTGATACTCTAGGAGAGGGGACAGAAAACAAGCAAATGAATAGTTGCGATACGTAGAACAGTATTTCAATGAGAGGTGTTGTTATTTTATACAAAGTGGTCACCTTCATGGGGAAGGTGGCCCTCGATCAAATGACATCTGGAGGAGATATGAGCTGTTGCAGCTGTAAAGAAAGGATGTCTTAGGCAGCGAGAACAGCAAATACAAAGGCCCCAAGGCATGCATGTGTTGACACGTTTGAGGGGCAGTATGGAGTAGCCAGTGGGGCTAGAGAGAGAGAAAGGTCAAGATGAGAGGTAAGAGATGCTGGGGTGCAGCAACAAGATCCTACAGGACCCCATCATGGAAGGACGTAGCTCTCCCTAGGCGTGAGATGGGGCCACTACAGACAGAGCACATTTACCTAGGTCCCTCTGGCTGCTGTATGAAAACAAACTACTGGGGACAATGGTAGAAGTAGGGGAGCTTATGAAAAGACTTGGAATTCCTTACTAAAAGCCAGGGGTGTTGGTACATACCTATAACCCCAGTACTTGAGATGCTGAGGCAGGAGAATCACTACAACTTCAAGGCCAGCCTCGGCTACATAGTGAGGCCATCTCAAAACACACACACACACACACACACACACACACACACACACACACACACACACCCTGCAAGATTCTTTTTGAGATGATAGTGGCTCAGACCAGCATGCTAAAGGCAGAGATGGTGAGGAGTGGCTGCACTCCAGAAATTAATAGTGGAGCCAGCAAGATCTTCTCCTGGACGGGATATACGGGAGTGGGAATAAGAGGGAGGCCTGAGGAGTGACTACAAAGTTTTATCAAGAACAATGAGATGGGCTCCCAAAGGATGAAGGGCTTCAAGAGTGGAGGGAGGATCCCTGGGGTAGAGGGGCGTAGGGAAGACAGCCGAGAACAAGGCTCTTCAGGCAACAGCTTGCTCAGCTGGTCTCCTTGGGACAGAGGAGTCAGGAAGGGTGTGAAGCTGACCACTCAGAGCCCTGTCCTGCACATAGAGAGGCCACAATGTACTGCTAGAGGAGGCCCACCATAACAGGGGGTCCCCCATGATCTCCTAGATGCTGACACAGCAGAGATCCTCACAGCATACTTCCATCCAATGCCTGTGTCTAATCTTAAATTTATAATATTGTGTCCTTAAAGAGGACCCCTGCAGTTCTATCCACACCCAGCTCCCCTAAACGTGGGCCCACCACAGGCATATGCAGAGGTAAATGGGCAGGTGTCTGCCAGGAGCCAGGCTCTGCATCTTCACACTCATTAACCCATTGCATCCCCCAACACAGCCTTAAGCACAGGTGATTTACAAGGGAGGGAGCAAGGCTGAGAAGCTAAGGGATCTGTCCAGGATCACACCGTGAGAAAACTGAGCTGGCACCTCCGTGCTTGTGCCCTGAGCCGTAGGGGCACTCTCCCTGGAGAAGACTGATCCTGTCCTACGTGCACCACCTTAGAAGCACCCATCCTCTTGCTGAGCCTCAGGTTCAGGGCAGGAGAGTTAGAGCAGCCACAGCCACTGGCTGAGAGCTCCGGCCTGAGTGCGCTTGGTAAAATGATGACGGGTGGCATTTGTGAGTGACACCTGCATTTTAGGTCACTGGATCAATGGCCGCAAATATGAGCCATCCAAGGCATTGGGATGGGACCTGTGATTGCTGCCTTCTGTGCCTTCTCCAAGTCAGTCACCACGAAGCAGAGTGCCCCGCCCCAGACCTCTCCAGACCAGCACCCTCTAGCCTGGGTCCCTCCAGCCCTGCCCAATTCCCGCTCCCTGCTTTGTGTCTGAGCAGCAGCTTACCACTGCCTCTCCACAGTGTCCCTTTATCCAGGCTTGTAAGCACATCTTTATAATTATTATATAAATTATCTTGAAGAAGCAGTTCATTTACATGATCCAAAATTTGAAGAACACCGAAGGCTACACAATGAAAATTTTTCCTCTTCTCCTTCTTTCCACTATTTCCTCTTCCTAGATGCAACTTGCTTCAGTCTCTAGTTACCTTCCAAATGTGTACTATAGACTATACATTATACATACATTACATATGTAGATAAATGTTATGCCTATAGACACAAACATTTCCTATGTACATACGTATATTTTTATTCCCTATTATATGGTAATATAGAGTATCTTCTCTTAAGAGATGTTCTCGTACTTTATATTGTAATTTATTCCACCTCAGGACACATAGAATATCTTTACCTTTTTAGGGCTATATAGTATTTGTATAGTTAGATCATAGTTTATTTAATTATTCCCCCATTGATGGACATGTATGTTGTTCCTTTTATTCCCCCACTGATGGACATGTACATTGTTCCTTTTATTCCCCCACTGATGGACATGTACGTTGTTCCTTTTATTCCCCCACTGATGGACATGTATGTTGTTTCCATCTTTTATTATTACAAGCAGTTCTGTGGTAAATTACTGTGGACACACTTCATACCACACATGTGAATACTAGGGCATATCCTGTTTGTGTGCTTGTGCGTGTGTGTGTGGTGTGTGTGTGTGTGTGTGTGTGTGTGCATACTGGGAGTGGAACCCAAGGCCCTGTGCATGCTAAGCACTTGCCCTACCACTGAGCTACCCCTATATTTCACATCGTGGTGGCTGTTGCCAGCTGCCCTCCACGTTCTGCATCACTGTACATCCCCACCGTTGATGGAGAAGATGGTCTAGCTCACTACATCCTCACCAACTCAGTGCATCCATCATTTTTATCTTTGCCAAACTCATAGGAGGAAAATACGCTGTTTCCATATAGTTTTATCTCAGTTTTGTTATGAGTGAGATTGAACATCTTTTAATACGTTTAAATGTCCTCATGGGCCTCTGCTGTGGGTTGTAGATTCTGTTCCTATCTTTCACTGGTGTTTGTACTAGGTAGCTGTGCTGTACTGACCTTCACATGACCTTGACATGTATATTGGGGCTGTTGCATCTTCCTTACAGAACTGCCTACAAGTACAAATTTGCTGCCTTGCTGGAGACCTGATAGGCAGATCTTGACCTATCAACTTGATTTTAACCTGAAAACTGATTTGTCTACTAGATCTAAATACCTAGGCTTCGCCTCAGCTTTTACTTCTCTAGATCTTTCTCTCCCAGCTCATCCCACAGCCCTGGGGTGGGAACATGGCCAACGCAGGACACAGAGCTGGCTGGCTTGAAACCGTGAGCAATACAGTCACTACCTGAAATAGTTCAGGTCAAGCCAAGTGAGCCCTGAGACTCACCTGAGAGTTGGCTGGCCATCCTTCGGAGGGTAACAGGTGAAGGCCTGGGAGCTGGGCCCACCTCATCTAGCCCATCCATCAGGCCTTGGTGTTGGGGGGCTGAGGCCATGCCCAGTGGGTTGTGAATGGTGAAGGTGCTGGCATAGCGCTCCAGAGGGTCATCCAGGGAGGCCACAGTGCCCTCCTCCCACAGGCGGTACAGCATAAGGACGGGGAAGATCTTGGAGATGCTGGCGATCCTGCCTTATGAAAGGGGCACAGGGGCAGAGGGCAACCTGTTGGTCCACAGCCAGGCACTGCCCTAGACACCAGCTCCTACACCCCTGTGCTCTAGAAAAGACTGAATCCACCCAAGTCAGCATCTCAAACGAAGTGTCCGGGTCTGCCTGAAGCTGCCTTTGGGCAGAGGATGCTGGAGAACATACCGGAAGTTGAGGGGCTGGCAAGATAGGGTGGACCCTCTTCAGCAACCTTCTCATTCTAAGGCTGACTTGGGTACCGTGTGTGTGGCTTTGGGTCAGTTACTGGACCCTTCTGAGGCAGCTTCCCTATGGGCCTCAAACGAGCTGAGGAGAGGATGTGTGAGAAATGCTGGTTGGGGAGGGCCCCAGGCCTGGCGTGGAGCAGGGTAGTGTAAATGAAAACTTCCTCTGAACACTGGGTCCTTCTCCAGTTTGGTAGCTTTGGTTTCCAGGAGGGATCCCTGCTGGCTGGCCACCCTTGTGGTGTGACACTGGGCACTCACTGGTCTCCTCTGGATCTTGGGCTCCTCCTGTGTGGAACTGCCAGGACTTAATCATGGCAGCCTAGCCACCCCAGTCGTGATTTTTCTTGGGTCTCTGCCTCATGGGTCCCCTGCCCTCCCACCCCACACCATCCACAGGGCCCTGGAGACAGCCCAGCTGACCGGTACATGGTGTGCTCGTTGGGGGCCCCGGAATTGGGGTCTGAGCCATTCTTCTTCCCAAAGTTCCCCGTCCAGAGCACGGTATCATTGTGGATGACAACTGCAGACATGGCAGCCAGACCCGGGGCCGACATGGCCTGGCTGAGGATCCCATCCACCTTGGGGGGAAAGACCAGGAGGCTGAGAGTGTGGGTGCAGTGACGCCCCCAGCCCCTCCCGTTCCCACAGCCAACCCCTCACACAGTGCCTCCCTGAGTGCCAGCACCCCTGGCCCTACCATACCCCGGGGGGGCCAGCTTTGCTCAGGAAAGCCCCCTCCAGTCTGTGTTAGGCATAGGGCTTCCTCAAAAGATTTTTTTTCTCAAAGAAATATTTCCTTAGCAAAGTAAAAAAAAGAGGAGGGGGCTTAAGGATGTAGCTCCATGGTAGTCTTGTCCAGCATGTACGAGGCTCTGGCTTCCATCCTCAGTACAAAAAAGAGAGAGAGAGAGAGAGAGAGAGAGAGAGAGAGAGAGAGAGAGAGAGAGAGAGAGAGAGAGAGAAGGTTCAAAATTACCAATGTAATTGAACCCTGGCCTCATGCCCTAGACAAACCTCCCCAGGGCTTACTTGAACACCCTGTGTTGAGCAATCCACTGTGTATAGGCCCCTCATACATTTCTTCAAAATATCTTATTATTTTCAATAATTAAGTAGAGGGGTAGTGATAATAGCTAGTGTTTGGGGAAGATTTAAAGTATGCCAGGCATGACAGAAAGAGATTTTTATTCATTATTTTACTTGATCCTCACAGTAGTAAGTCAATGTTAATTTCTCTCCATTTAATGGATGAGAAAACCGAGTCTCTGACGTGAAATACCTTGCCCACATGCTGGGGCATAGCTGCTGGGGTCAAGAGCAGCCCCTTCCTAAAGATGCCCAGACGCCTTGCCCAAGGTTTCACCATCCTGCGCCGAGCCCGGCCAGCCTCTACCTTCTACCCCTGTGCTAACTTTCCCTCTCTGAGCCTTAGTTGCTCCCTACATAGATAGGGATGCAGGAGGTGCAGGCACAAACAGGTAGCGTGGCACCTGGCACTCACCAGGTGCTCAGCAGACAATGATGGCTGCGGGAATTATTGTCACTCTTTGTTTCAGTTACTATGAGCCCCGGGTGCCACGCGGCACCCTCTGCTCCCCTCCTGCCCGAGCTCCCCATGTCTCCCCATGGGCCTGTGCTCACCTCACTGCCGTGGGCTGGTCACCCCCTACCTGCAGCAGCTATTGGACGCCAGTTTCAAGTCCCCCCACCAGGCTGCTGCTCGTGCACTTCTGATCAGGTTTCCTCTGCCTCTGTGGCTCCTAAGGTAAGGGACCTAAGTGCATGGGGCCTGATGGCCTGGAGCAGGTGCGCCCCCAGTGGTAAGCGCTGCGCCATGGTGGGCGTGGGAGTGTATCTGCTCAGCTGTTTCATCCTATTGCTGTGGCCTCCGTGTCTGGGCTCTGTCATCTGCTCCGTCCTCATCCCCCACCTCCCCTCTCTGGCCTCTTAGCCTTCTGTGTGCTCCAAGTGCCCAGCCTGCTGCCTCAGGGCCTTTGCACACACCACTCCCTCTGTCTGGAGCACACCCCTGCACCCCTAAGCTCCCTGAACACACACACACACACACACACACACACACACACACACACCCCACCTGGTATCTATTTGTCCACATCTCACCCCACACACTGCTACCTCCAGACCCCAACACCAATCCCTTCTCTTATCACCACACTCCCATAGGGTCCTGGCCTCCTCTTGTCACCACACTCGCCCGTGTTAGAAACATCTGGTGTCTTGACTTAACTCCTAGGCTAGTAGTTTCTAGAAGGCCAGCGAGTGTCTTCTTCCTGCCCTGTCCCTGCTGCCCAGCACAGAGCAGCCTAAATGGATCCCACTGCCAGTAAAGAGTGCTCCCAGCACCCCCAGCCTCCTCACACACCATCCCCTCCAGGGTCATCACTGACCTTTTCCAGGGCCTCCTTCAACACTGGGAGCGGGTGAGCCAGAGGCACAGGTTCTGGGTGCTGGGGGCACATCCTCACGGGCACAGAGGTCACCTCTGGTCCCAAGGAACCTGGAGGAGGAGGGAAGTGGTAGCAAAGGCCAGAGTCGTCACACCTTGGGGACAGTCTTCCCCGGCCAGCGGGACAGTACATGATCCAGCCACAGCACTGAGGGGCCCGGCATTCCACGCTCCCACTGCCACCTGGCCTTGCTGGCTCCTGTGAGGCCACAGATGCTGCTGCGGTGGCCGTGCCACTCCTCCCCGCCCTCCCTCCCCCGCTACCAGCTTGCTCCCTTCGTGTGGGCAGTGGGTCAAGCTCTGGCTCCTGCGGACAGGCTCAGCACATCTGTCCATTCTCCTCTCCTTCCTTGTGCTTATTATGTGTGTCGGAGTGGATTGGGAGCCCCACGTGGCTTGGGGCCTTAAACACCAGGGACACCTCTGTCCCTAGAAATGGGCATCGGGCATCAAGCCCTCGAATGTGTCCTGCCTTTGTCCAGTGTGCGGTGGCCCTGGAACCACAAGGAGCAGCTGCATCTGGGGAGAGAGGGAGGGCAGGACTGGGGCTGATCGATCCCAGCGGCTCCCGCACGGCGCCTTCTCTGAAGCCCTTATGAAAAGCTAAGGGACTGAGAACTGAGGACTGGCATGCGATTTGCTTGCTCCCTGGGGACACTGCCACCTGGTGGACGGGCCTGGGACGAAGACTTTGCCAGAACGAGTCACTAGGGACGCCTGTGTCCCAGCTGACCTGTCCCCTGCCCTAGACAGAGCCCAGGCAAGATGCCCAGCAGAACTGCCGGCCAGCCCAGGGTCATGAAAAAAAATAACCAGCCAGTCGCGTAAGGGTGGCTTGTCCCTAGCGGTAGATAAAAAAGGTAAAACTGCCTCAGAGTGGTTCTCTCAACAAGTGAATGGCATAGGTTTAGGACTGGCTTTGCGAGCTGGGGATGAGGTAGGAAGCTACAAGTGCGCAGGAAGCTGCCTGGGAATCTTAAAATCCAGGCGTGAGTCGCTGGGGTGCGCGGGGAGCGGGGGCGGCTTCTCACAGCCCAGGGGGCGAACCCGCAGGAGGGCGGGACCTTGGTCTGCGCACCCCGTAGATCATAACAGCTTCTCATTTGTGACAAATTATGAACAAAGTTGGAGAAAAGGCACAAGAATGTTTTCTTTTTTGTTTTGGGGCCGGAGAATTGAACCCAGAACCTTTATACTGGACTATACTCCCAACCTTTTTTTTTTTTTTTTTTAACTTTGAGATAAGGTCTCACTAAGTTGCTAAATTGCCCAGACTGGGCTCAAACTTGTAAACCTCCTCCTCAGTCACCCAAAGGGCTGCAATTACAGGCATGCATCATATATGGGGTTGTATTTGGAAACTTGTATAGCAATTTGACAGAATAATTTTTGCATTTGTGGAATCCAATAACATAAAATTTGGGCTTCCTGTGTCTTTTTAAAAATTTCTCTAATGAGGGGCTGGTGAGATGGCTCAGTGGTCTAAAGCACCTACTTAGAACAAGCTTAGCAAAGCACAGGGACCACAGTTCAATCCCCCAGCACCACATGCCAGCCAGCCCCGCCCCCTGGTGGGCTGAGCTGGCCACACACACACACACACACACACACACACACACACACACACATAAATAAATGAATAAAATTTTTTTAAAAAAATTTTTCCCTAATGATTCATCTTTATGTGTTTTGGCATTGTTTTGTTTCATTTTGGTTTTTGAGACAAGGTCTTGCTATGAGCTCACTATACAGTCCAGGCTGGCCTTGAACTTGGTACGTAGTCCAGACTAAACTCAATTTTGTAATCCTCGTGCCTCGGGCTCCCAAATGCAGGGGCTATGGGCATGCACCACCACACACAGCCATTCTATGTCTGTAGTCTTACCAGTCTGCTATGGCTTGGTAGTGTGACAGTCTGAGGAGCACATTTCTGAGGCACAGACTTTGCCTACCTGAGGTATTTTTACTTGAGAAACTAAGGAGCCTCTCAAAAGGGAACTTACCCTAGATAGAAAAGTTGAGATCAAGAGTTGAGGAAAGGTGGGCTGCCAAGATAGCCCAGCAGACTAAGCACCTGCCCCCAAGCTAGATCCTCAGGTTAGATCCCCGGTACCACATGCTGTGCCGGCCCTGCCCCAGGGCAAGCCAGCCACTGAGACAGTCATGGTGGTGCACACCTGTTATCCCAGCACTGGGGAGGCTGAAAACAGGAGAATCACTAGGAGTCCAAGCTGCGTAGTGAGACCCTGTACCAAATACATTAATTAAAAATAAAAAATAAAAAATAAAAAAAACTGAGGAAGAGACAAGAAAATAAAGAGCCATGTCTGTAAACATTCCCACGGCACTCACTGGGCTCTGGGGCATCTGTAACACAGGTGACCCAAGAATGGAGAGAACCATCGTGCCCTGGAGCAGTGCAGACCTGGGCTCTGGTCCACCCAGGATCCCAGCAGGTGCGAGGTTCCCAGGTTGCCAGAGCAGCCGAGGCCTGCCGCTCATCTGGAAGCGACGGTTTCTCGACTGGCCTGGAGCCACTTAGAAAGGAGAGGCTCTAAGAAGTGGAAGTCACCGTCGAGGGAACCCTCTCAGGGACTTAGAGTGGTGAGAGGGTCTTTGGATGGTGGTCAAAAGTAGAGCAAGAGAAATAATGGTTGACACTTTGAGGGAACCCGAGTTTTGCTCACCCCGGATTGTACAGCTTGAGGAAACCCAAGTAGCTTTAGGGTTTGCATCTTATACGAGGCAGCGTCGAGATCCAGAGATTCACAGCTAGTGAGACCCATAGTGAGGGTGCAGGCTGAAGGCCTGATGTTTAAATCTTCTTAAACTCTGCGACTGGGTGGCAGCTCAGAGCCTAGGAGGACCTTGGCCTGGCACTCACCAGTCTGCATCTTGGGGAGGTGGTACTGCCACAGGAAGCAGCCGGTCATGACCAAGGAGAGCAGGAACAGGAAGCCGCTGGAGGCTGGGAAGAGCCACCTCTTGATCGCTTTCAGCAGGCGGGGCTGCTGGCCAGTCTGGAAAGTCAAGGACACAGTGTGACCCCCTGGGGGTCAGCAGAGGGAAGAGAGCAAGGGATCCCCTCCCCATTGCCTCCTATGCCTGGTTCCCATATCCAGAGAGGCCAGAGGTTTGGATAAATGTCACACCTGCAAGCATGCACCCCTTCAGGAGCTCTGCCTGGCACCGGGGCTCCGCCTGCCATGCCCCGCCTCTCCCTGAGCTTATGACCTGCTGCACTGCCAGCTCCTCCAGGAAGCCTCCCCATCCATCCTTACCCTTGTCCCCTGCTAAGGCACTTGGAGCGAGCCTGCAAGCGAGCTGAATGCAAGTCCCTCTGCTGCTCTTGACCCATACAAGCAAGATGTCCCAGATGGGGCCACCAGCTCTGTCCTCTCCCCTGAGGCCACACATGTTTGGAGGGCACAGCCTAAGGTTGTGCATGTGGTTTCCTCCATCCTGTCCGTACTCGCTCTCTACAACACCTGCCTTCCTTACTCCTCCAATCCTGCGACCTGGAGCTTGGGAGGGAGCTCCCTGCAGGCCTGCATGCAGCCCCTAGTGCAGGGCTGGTGCTGCGTGAAAGTGACTGCTAGCACCACCCCATTCTCATGCCATTCTGCAAAACCTCTGCAAGGAGAGGGGGCCTGCTTGGTGATGCTGGGAGGGCGGGGCTGGGGCAGCGAAGTGTGGGAAGTGGGTGCAGGCGGGGTCAGAGGTGATGAGAGCAGGTCCTATAGCCCGACAGAGGGGAGGAAGAGGGCAGGCAGGGAGGGGCCGAAGCACTGGAGCAGGAGGGCAACTGGCCACCTAGGCCCCTAAAAGAGCCATGGGCTCCTACACAGCCACCCCAGAGCCCAGGAAACACACATCCACTCCAGCTAAGAGGAGCATCCCGGCCCTGGTGAGCAAGGGGCTCCCCTGCCTTGGTGTTATAGCTGAGCCTCAGGGGAGTTAAGTGACCTGCCTAAGATCACCCAGCTAGTTGCAAACCTGAGACTTGAACCCAAAGCCCAGGCTCCAAGCTACTCAGACAAAGCTCTGGCTGATCTTTAAGGATCATTACTTGAACCTTCTCATTTCCAAGTGGGCAAAAAGAGGTTACAGGAAGAAAAAGACCTGTGGAAAAAAATAATCATCCTTATGTTCTGAGTCTGTCCTAGGCTGAGGGTCAGTTTGCGCCAGCCTTGCACCAGGAACTGATCAGGTGATGTCTTATTACCCCCTCCCACTTGGCTCAGGAAGTGGTTAGAGATAAGATGGAACCCAGAGGCATTCAGTGATTTGCTCAAGGTCACGGAGCAAGGTGCAGTGAGTCCGTTCTACCCCCCTCTTGACCCACGCCTCGAAGTGCAACCTCTCCTGACCCCCTCACAGCTGTCCTTTCCCGAGCACCTGCCAAGCCCCAGGCTCCATTCTAAGCAAGGACCCAGCCTCTCAAATCTCAGTGCCTGGGAAACCAGCACGCTGTGGCAGGCCCGTCTCCCCAGCTGGCCCGGCAGGCAGGGGGGAGTCCCTCCCTGTTCATCAGTGTTGCTCTAACTCTTGGCTTGATGGTTCTCATAAATAGGCTTTCAATAGCCACTAATGCCCATGGGGTGTTTACTACAGGAGAGTTCCTACTGACTTATAAGTATTATTTCATTTAATCCTTGCAACTGAATGCCAGCAGGTGCTATTATTTTGGGCATCATAGACTCAGGAAATGCTTTTGAAGGTCACATTGTTCTGCAAATTGAAAGACTTAGGTTCAAATCAATTGTTGAACAAGACAGCTGAGCTATTGGTGAAGAGTTTATTTTGGGGGCTGGGGAGATGGCTCAGTAGAATAAGCGCTTCCCGGCAAGTGCAAGGGCCTGAGTTCAATCCCCAGTTCAAAAAAAAAGAGTTTATTTTCATGTCTCAAGATCTCACTGGTTTCCAGCAGTATCTTCTACCTTTAGCACTTGGGGTTCATACTGAAGCTATTCTTCATTCTTTGTTTCCAAAAACTAGAATCAACCCAGATGTCCTTCAGCTGGTGAATAAATAAGCAAAATGTGGTATGCCCACATATGGAATACTATGCAGCAGTGTAAAGGGATGGATGCTGATGTGTGCAGTAATGTAGCTGAGTCTCTAATGTGCAATGCTGTGTGAAGTGAACCAGACTCAAAGAGCTATAGACTATGTCATGCCATCCAGTATTCTGGAAAAGGCCCAACTAGATGGACAGAGGACAACTCAGTGGTTACCTAGGCTGAGGAGGAGAGGGATTATAAGAGGGCAGAAGGAGCTGGCATGGTGGTGCACACCTATAATCCCTCCAGGAGGTAAGAGGAGCAAAAGTTTGTGCCCAGCCAAGGCAATTAATAACTTACCAAGGCCTCTCTCAGAATAAGAAATACAAAGGTTGGAGTTCAGTGTGAAGGCCCCAGGTTCCATCCCCAGTTCTGGGGTGGGAGTTGGGGACAAACAAAACAGAAAGAGTAGAATTGTTTGGGAGGTAGTGGGCTCGGTCTCGGCCCTGGCTGTGGTGGTCGTCTCAGGACTGTCTGCGTTGGTCAAGAATCACAGGACCTGTGGATCTTGCTGTTTGTAAGTGATACCTCAGCTTCACCTGCATGTGACACAGGATCCAGGATGGCCCCAGCACTGTCAGTCTTGTACGGAACACGTCCCCTTCGACTGGGAGCGGAGACCCACAGGAGCAGAGACCCACAAGGCAGCACCAGCAAGGGCCCAGGGAGGAGATAGTTCCACTCCCTTGACAGCAGTCAGGCCGTAACCAACCACCCTCACCCCAGCACAGGGGAAGAAAGAAACTCAAAGGCATTTATGGAGGCCGTGGGCAGTGGAAGGCAGAGCTGAGACCCAAGCTGTGTGGTGCACCTCCCACCTACATCCACGTGCTCTCTGCACCCCATCCGTGGTTCTCCCCTGGGGCGCAGCCTCAGCACCTGCCTGTCTCCAAACCCAGGACTTATTCCAGAGGCTGGCAGCAGCAGTCCACATTATGCCTCTAAGCGGCTGCCCAGCTGCTTTCGTTAGACCTGCAGTGGCCTCTAGAGCTCTCTCTGCTCGTCCCAGCTGGAAACCGCAGGCTCCTCCAAACCTCTCCCTGCTGTGGCTCCCAGCTCCTCACCTGCGATCTGCATCCCACCGCCCTCGCCTTTCCCTTATTCAGGGCCCACCGGGGACAGCACCTGTTATTTCAGTCATTCATGCATCTATTCATCTAGAAAATGGTCTGGTCCGTAAGGGCCTGCTGTGTGCTGGCCACCCTCCCCCTGGGAGCCAGAAGCCTGCTGGAGTGCGACCAGAGCCCAAGGTTTGGCCCTGACTAGCTTCGCCCTTGCTAGCTTGGAGTCTGAACTGCATAACAGGCGCGGTCATGATCCTGCACTGCCTAGTGTTCGGGTGATGGCAAGTGTCCGCAAACCCCCCAGAAAGGCACTCACTGCCTGGTGCTAGAATTGATGTAATAATTTCTCAGAAAGAGGCAGGCAGACAGACACAAACAGAACCATGAAGAGGCCTCGGGGCTCCCAGGAGCATGACCCTTGAGCTGGGAGCGGGGGTCACTGAGCTGGAGGGTGGGAAGAGTCGGGTGCCCCAGTCAGAGGCCAGCCTGTGGCTTCTGCTGTGCCATGCAAGAGCTAACGCCAGCCTGGCCCTGGCCCAGGCGCGAGCCCCATGGGTCAGTGGCGGCGACACAGGTGGGCGGGTGGGTGACCTAGGGCTGTGCCTCACCTGGGTCTTCATTCTCTCCAAGACGTGGAAGATCCCAGCTCCTTGAGGATTCAGGTCTGCGCCCCAGAACCTCCCATGGGCAAGAAGGTGAGTTCGAGAAGTGCAGGTAACACGAGGTTCTCAAGGCCTGGGAAAGGAGACAGGGGACAGGGAGCTCCTAGAAACCACAGAGGGGCGGCCGGACATGGTGGTGAGTGCCAGTAATCCCAGCCCTCTGGAAGGCTGAAGCAGGAGGAGTCCAAGTCCAAACCCGGCCTGGGAAACTTGGCAACTTAGCGATTTAGAGAGACCCTATCTAAAACCCTGGGGATGCAGCCAGTGCAAAGGCCAGGGGTTCAGTCTCCAGTAAGACACACACACACACACACACACACACACACACACACACCAGAGTATAAGTGAACAACTTCTCAGTTCACATGGCTCCATCCCATAGCAAGAGAAATAGCTTGGAAGCCCCCATCTACCTGCCCCCATCTCTGCTTGCCAGGACTCTCCTGATTTCAGCACCAAAAGCCCCACACTCCCCAGAACACCTCAGGTCCAGGCAAACCTGGCTTTTCTGCCTACCCTGCCCCCAATTCCAGCTGCTCTGCCTCTCCAGCCTCCAGGCCTGGGGCCCTCGGCCACAACTTACCCTCTTCCACAAGGCTCCGGAAGAACAGAGTGATTCAGGCCCTGCGCGGCTGGCAAGGGCCTCTGGAGCCCCTGTGTTCTGCGGCGCAGGCAAGGTTTCCTGGGCTCCAAGGCACAGGTTTTGCCTAAGCTCTCCAGAGGCCGCCAGATGCGGCGCCTGATTTCCCAACCACTAATCCCACTGCAGGCCCTGTGCCCAGGGGATTAGTGCCCAGAGTTCGGGGCAATGGGAAGGGGGGCAGATCTGTTGGGGCACACTGGGAGCCCCACACAAGCCCAGCAGCTCCAGGTGGGGTGACACAGGAATGCTCTCTCCAGAAGGGGGCCCTGCCAAGCCCAGAGTAGAGGAGAGAAACTGGCAGCAGCCACCAAGGCCTGCCTGACCCACAGGCCCTCCTGGACGCCATCCAAACCCACCCCAGCTCATCAGGGACCCCTGGGGACCCCAAGGTTCCAAAGAATGCAGTCTGACCTCATTGTTAAATATTCAGGTGACTCGGGTTCAAATCCCAGTTCTGTCCCTGCCTGGGACCCCGGGTAAGTCCTGATCTCTGCTTCTTCATCTATAAATGGGGATGATAACATTATATGGCTTGGCCTGAGGATTACACAGCAGTAATCTTACAAAGCAGGCAGC